AACTTGCCATTATATTTTGCAAAGATATGTGGGCTATGCATATATGAGGAAAAATGCTATGAAAAAAAAATATTTTTTTAAATACAAGGAGCATCTAAAAAGGAACATCTTCAAAATAAAGCCAATAATTGCATAATTAGGATATATAATTAATTGAAAATAACAAGTTATTTTTCATGTTTTTTTCATAGTACTTTTTACAAAATGTAAACATTAAATCTTCATTTTAAGTTTTATTTTAAAATTCTTTTTAAAATTTAATTTGAATTAAAATTAAAAAAAAAAGATTAAAATTCGAAATGTAAGCGGCAGGGCTTTGGAGCTGAGAGCTAAAAATTAGCTCTGGCTCCAGGCTCCGGCTCCATTAATATTTTTGGCTCCAGTTCCGGAGCGGCTCCGCAAAAAACAAAATCAAAAATATTTTTAATGTTTTATGACAGTAACTTAAGTACTATTATTATTTTATTAATCAAAATCTTGATTCATTCTTAAAAGTAAAGTATTTTTTAGAATGAAGAATGCAGATCGCTCGATATAAACTTGAGCACAGAAAATAGCCTCTCTATGCTTGCTTGTAAGATAGGCATACAAGTGACTATTCTGCATGCCTCTTGTATTCTTTTTGGGTATTCTTTAATTCCCACAAAAACTGATTTCACTCATGTCACATTTCTTCCATTGAAAGAAGTGCTGTAGATGGCTCAGAAGTATTTCTTATTTCTTGACTTTCTATTATATTTTTGGCATCTCTTTTATAAATTTTTTTCTACTGCTTTTAAGCCGTGTTTTGCTCATATCGTTAGGTTTTCTTCCAACAGTATTCTATATCAAGCATCAACATAAAATGCGGCTAAAAATATATCATTATCAAAAGTTTTTTCTTCTCGTTTCTGAATTGATTTTGAAATGTCTTCTGCAATAAGTCCTTGATTTTTTTCAAGGTTGATTTCAATTTCAATCATTCCTTTAAGAACTCTCCTTGAAGTGATGTTGATTCCTTGAAGTTTAACTGTCACATCATATGACTTTTGAATCTTTTGAGATCGTGAATATGACTCAACTTATCCCATATTTTAGAGCATAGAAAGAATATCTGATCAACTGCAGCAAATGCTCACACAGTGGGTACAAAAGTAATAATCGTTCAATCATCCGAAATGTAGAACCCTAGCATGTCTCATCCAAAATTGGAATGAGCTTGTATTACTTCCTTGCTAAACAAATTGTATGTGAGTTTCTTAGTTTCTTTACAACATAACAAACTTTTGCCAAAAGTTGGGTAATTTATGTGTTTTTTTAAAGCATCACGAATAGCTAGCTGCAAAGTGTGAATAACACAGTGCATCAGCTTAATGTCATTAGAAAATTGTTGGAGGACAAAGGCTAAATTTTCTTCCCAAGCTGTTGCACTTTCTTCCTCATTTGTATCCTGTTGTGAAAACTCTTCATGTTCTTCATCTTGCAAAGCCTTATCTCAAATTTACATCACCTGAATATTTATTTAAAAGTGTGATTGTTCTAATCATATTGGCTGCATTGTTTATGCACTTCTACATACTATTTGATTTTTGCTGATACCAAATCTATATAGAGTATCTTCCACCATTTTTTTAAGAGCAGCAGAGTTGTGTTGTCCTTGTGTATCTAGTAGTGCCAAAGTTTAAACTTAATTTTTTCCTGCATAATAATATAGAATATTTGTTCCCAAATAGTTCTTTTGGTGTCAAGTGGCTGCATCTATTTTCACATAAATAAAATTCTGTAACAGTATTTCCTTTATTTCAGTTTTCTTTTTTCCCACAAATTCATTAATCAAGTTGCGTAGAGAATTGTGTCCAGTACTGAATCCAAGAGTTTTACCTAGTTGGCCTATAACCAACTGAAATCCTTTATCTGCAAATCCTATTTTAAATGTTTTAGCACTAACTTGATTTATTGTTCTACTACTCGTGATAGCAAAAAAATTGAATGTAATCTGTTTAGTTTTTTTAGTATTGAAATATTGTGAATGTGATTATTTGAAAATATTGTGAATGTGTTATTCTGAAATTTTTTTGATAATAAGGCTCATTTCGGATTCAACAATTTTATATTCTGATAGATATGATCTTTCCAAATGGTATGTGATCATGTCGTTTCATATTGTAAACTTTTGAATTCCATGCCTCATAAAATCACTTTATCATTTATATTTTCTGTAATCTTACATGTAGCCAGTTTTGTACTTTTATCAATTGAAAAACACTTATCTAGAAACCTCTCAGGGTTGTTTGGTTTGAAGCCATTTTAACAAAAATTATGGAAAACAAAGTAAATGACAAAATCTCAAAAAAATGAGCATAATTGAAAGTATGCATATTTAGTTTTCTGTAAATGTCAATAAATAATAAGTAAATTTAAAGATCTAGACCTTTTTTATAGTATTAAAATATGTAGTAAGCACTGAGTATAATACAAGTAAACTATAGTTTTGACTTAGACCTGGTCATAAAAAACTAGTACAGAATCTGATAGGAGAAATTCAATGTTGCCAAAAAATCAAGCTATATAAATCTGCATGGATTCATGAAAGGACAATTATGTTGCTTTAAAGTCCTCACCTCTCATCAGTTTTTAACTGTTTGTAATTGTTCCTCACTATATATGCAGTTATTAAAGTGAGAATATATATATATATATATATATATATATATATATATATATATATATATATATATATATATATATATATATATATATATATATATATATATATATATATATATATATATAAAACTTATCATACTCTACAATATGAATTGCATGACATATTACACAAAATAATTGGATAAAAATTAAATTTAAAAAAAATGCTTACAATTTTTTGGAAGTAAACAAAAACAATTTTATAAGCTCAAGCTTAAATTTAAAAATGTAAAAATCATATTTTAAATGTGCCTTATCTCCTTATCTCTTAATATCCTTATCTCGTAGTCGAAAAAGACTTTTGTGTTAAAAAAAGTCTTTAAAAAATTTATACATTTTTAAATTTGTTATTTTATTATAAAAGTATATTTTTTAAATTAATTTTTGTTGTTTTTATTTATTTATTTTATATTATATTTCATTTTTAACTTAATCTATTTACAAAAACAATTAATTACATTAATATAACCAAATTTAAACCTTGCCATAACCCTAACCCTAAGCCTGACCTTGATGCCTGGCCAAAACAAACCCTCAGTCGATGTAGCAGCACTCCCTTGCGAGTCAGGCTATTTATCAGTCGATGTATGAACTTTTCATTCTCTATAAAAGTTTCTTACAGGTACATTTTTCTTACAAAAAAAATCATGCTTATGGGGACAAAAAATTAACGGGTACACTAATATGTCCCCGATAATGCTAATGTCTCCGTAAGCGTTCGTTTTTTTGTAAATATTTGTTTTTTATTATTTATAATTATATTAGTTTGTTAGAGATAGTATTTTTGACCATTTTTAATACCCTAAGGCATGACATAATTTATGGACAACCTCTAAGAGTAATATTATCAGGTTAACAGAGAGAAATAATTTTTGTTTATAAAATAAAATAGATTAAAATATTTTATTAATTATTGACCAAAACGAAAACTTTTATTTAGTTTTAATCAAATTACTTTCTTAATTTACAACATAAAAATATGGTAACATAATCACCATCAAAATAAAATCAACCATCAACATAATCAAAATAAAATCTCTATTAAAAATCCTTAAAAATATTTCATTATTTAAAATAAGATTTAGATTAGTATATTGGGATTTTTTCAAGGTTTTAAACTTTAAAAACCATAAAGGTTCCATTTAACATAAGTATTTAAATTTTTTGATAGGGGAAGTTCTCTATATTTTCTTATTTTTACATTACGATTTTTTTTAATACTTTCCATTCATATGAAGTTAAAGTGATCAAAAAAAACTAAATTATTGTGTCAATACTATAAATTATTGTGTCAATACTATAAAATTTAAACGAAAGACGAATTTAGATTATACGCGTATACTGAATTTAACTGAAAGACTAATTTAAGCTGTATTTGTAGCGAATTTAACTGAAATATGAATTTGGACTTCTAAACCAAATTTAACTTAAAGCTGAATTTGGATTTTAAAAATACATTTAATTAAAAAAGAAATATTTTAAGAACTTTTATAAGTTTTATAAAAATTTTTTTTTTTTGCTTTAAATGTTCCGAGAAGACTTAACGGCTTTGTCATGGAATACATCAGAATAGTATTAAACTAGAAAGTTCAAACCTTTTTTTTTACCGATGGTGCGAAATATGCCTGGAACTTGCTTCGAACTCTAGGAATATTGCTTCTAAAGCAAATGCTCTAACCACTGCGCAGTGCTTGCTGTATAATTATTTTTTGTAAACTTAAGTTATTATTTTTTAGCTTGTAATTAACCATAATATAAAACTTGACATAGAACAAGTGAAGCCTAGTAAATTTTAATTTATTAAAAAATATACCTTACAAATAACAATTTGTGTCAAAATATTCAGCAATAATGAAAAATCAAGTTATGGAATCTTTACAACTCTTAATGTTTTTGAATGAGCATGAACAATTTTTTTTTTTACCCAATTCATGTTCCCATGGTTGAGTGGTTCACGTTTGTCGAGGAAGCTACTTTGTATATTCGTTACAACCCTCTCTCAACTTTGAAAGAGGGTTGTAACCAATAGAAACAGGTTGATATATAAAACATGTTATACATTTTATAATTCTTCTTTATAAATTGAAAAAAACTTTATAGCTTTCGAATTTAACTGTAAGTTAAATTAAGTTTTGAAATTGTTACCAAGTTTAACTGAAAGCCGAATTTCTATTTCAACTTTGGCACCGAAGTCGAAGTCCAAGTCAACTTCGCCTTTTAGTTAACTTCGTAATCCAAATTTTAACGAATATTCGCCGGTCCTTAATACTATATAGCTGTGGTAGATTAGCATAAACAAAAAATATTTTTTTTAGCAATTATTAAATCTTTCAAAGAAGAGTAAGCAAAGTGTTTCAATAGTTTCTGCTCCTCCTAAAGCAAATGATAGTGATAAAGATGGGTCTGACTCCTCCACTGATGAAGATGATGAAGTAAGATTTAAATTTTATTATATTAATACTAAGAATTTTTATAGGAAATTTATTAAAATTGTGAACAGTTTATTTGTCATGTTTTTGAATTAAGCATTTTTTGAAAAAAAAAATTTATGTTAAATTCAAACTTATAATTTTAAAATTCAAAATATAAAATATATAATTATTGCTAATGACTCTAATGACCTGTCCTAATGACCTGTCCTAATGACCTGTCCTAGGGTGGATCTGTATAAGTGTTTTTTTTTTTTTTTTTTTGAAAAAAGTGATGATTTTCAAAGTTTCAAAAATTGCCTTATCTTATTTTATATATTCTAAAACGAAATAGGTCAAAATTTTTGTATAGGTAAATAATAGATTAATTTTTTTCCATGATGTGCTTTCATTTAACCTGGCAACGTAGGCCATTTTTAAATTGGCTTCAAGTTTGTTTATTTGTAGCCTAGTTCAAATAACCTGGTAACATGGCCACACTTAGATTGGCTTTAAGTTTGTTTGTAGTTCAAATAGCTACTAAAAAAAAATTAATTAAATTTTTTTTTCCCCCCTCAGAAATAGTATTTTTCTTAACAACGTGAAGTTTGGATTATGTTTTATTGCGATAAGGTCCCATATGACACTTTTTATGTGGTTTTTATCCAGATATTACAATCTCAATCATTGAATTCACACCTGTCAGTGATTTTTTTGTTTAGAATTTTTATATGTCCAACAAGTTATTGTTTAAATTAATAAATTATTTTGTTTTTAGTTCAAAGTAAATTATTTTGTTTTTAGTTAAAGTAAATGAAAATATTTTGTTTAACAAGAAAATTTTTGTTTAGCAAGAAAATTTTTGTTTAATAAGAAAATATTTTGTTTAACAAGAAAATTTTTTTATTGGTTTTGATCACTATTTTAAATTAGTATAGTGTACAAAGAAACAATTTAAATAAGTTTTATATTTATTTTCAAGTTCTTTTTTTATATTTTAGTGGACCTTACATTCAGAGGAAAAAAACTCCAAAAAGAAAAGATTTGACAAAAAAGTAACAGAGAAAAAGAAAGTGTTGTCAGATCATGAAGAAGAGGAGGGAGAAATTGCTGAAGAAGAACCTGAAGATGGAGAAGGTTTGAAAATATTGTATTTATTATATTAAAATCATCATCATTCTTTTTTTATTAATTCTCAATGGCCAAGGGGTCAATGCAGTCGAGGAGGCAACTTTCATTTGCGGTTACAACTCTTTCTCTCAATTCTTTAACTTTGAAACACGAACCTTGGCGAACAAGGCTGCTGTGCTGAGAAACAAGTCAAGTGTGGTACTACCAGGGACATGATCAAACTCAGAACTTTTGTGTACTTAATAAAGTTTTAAAATCTTTTTTTTTTTAATTAAAAAATTTTTCAAAACTTTTATTGTGCATGCTTCTGACCTTTTTGCGATGCAAATAGTAATATTTTTAACTCCAGATGTCTTCTTACTTTTTATGGATTCAAAAATGTTTGTTAGAGTAGCTGCAGTAATTGCTATTATTCTAATGTGAAGATTCAAAATCATTTTATACCTTATAACAAATCTATTTACTATGCGGATGAGTTTAAAAACTAGACACAAACATTTTGTATTTCCATATTTTCTGTAAACAATCCAAGTTTTTGCTGAACTGTCAAAATTTTTAATAAATTTTGAAATAAGTATAGGTCATAAATTCTATGTCACACGTTGATATGGAAATTATGATAAAAGTTCCATTAGACAACTTTGTCTCTCTTGAACACCAGAAAAAAGGAAAAAGTTGTTAGCAGTCATACCAATACAGTCGACTCTCGATATGTCGAACACTAAGGGGACTGGAAAAAAAGTTTGAGATATCAAGACTAGAAAAAAAGTTTGAGATATCGAGAGTTCGAGATCAAGAAAAAAGTTGAAAATAAATAAAATTGCCAGACTTTCATTAAAAAAAGTTATTTTTCTGACAAAAATCATTAACAACAAAAACTACAACTTTTGGAAAAATCTGTAATCTGATACTGCTTTAAATTATCCATCTTTTCCATCTTCATTAAATCCTCAAGTTTTAGTGCTAGGGATTGTATTTCATTTCCGTATTTTGAGCTGTATAGCGAAGCATTTTGAATCATTTCAAAAGCAATTTCTAATTGAATATCAGATGGGCGTGGCAGGGCTTCGACGTCAATAGCTTTGTCAACGCTATCTTCAACTTCATTATCGTCATTTTCAAAATTAGTGTCTAAAATTTGAGCAATGATTTCAGCATCAGTAGCAAGTGAACCGGTTATTACTACATCACAATCTAAACCAATGTAAGATTCCGCTGAGAGATCTTCTTAGACGGCAGGAGGATCTAACTCTTGCAAACGGTTAAGTTCTTCTTTCAAAAATTTAAAAGGATGATCATCATCAGCTTCTTCAATACTCTTGTTTGTTTTGCTGATACTAGCTTTTTAAAAGCAGTTGATGACAGTCTCCTTCGACACAGCATTCCACGAAGAAACAAGATCTTTCATTGCTTGAAGTATAAAAATTTTTGGCATGGGTTCGTTATTATCGACAGCCTTGATACATTAACGCACAATTTTGTGATGATAATGAGCTTTAAGACTTCGTATTATGCCTTGATACATGGGCTGAAGAACAGATGTGGTGTTAGGGGGGAAAAATATTAGATTGATGTTGCTTAGCCCTTCAATGTGTGGGTGGGCAGAATAGTTATCCACCAGAAGTGCTACTTTCCTGTCTTGAGCACGAAAAAATGAGTCAAGTTTCATTACCGTCACATATAAAAATTAACTAAAAAGTTGACCGGTCTGACTTTACTATTTTTTCCCCAAAAACATTTTTCTCGTGATAAATGGTATGTTTTGTTTGGTAGGCACTGGTAAAATAGTCCAAACTCATTGGCATTGAAAATGTTTTCAAGTTTGTAATTCAAAAGCAATGTTGGAAGTGTAGTTTCATTCCAAGAAGCAGTCATATTATTCGTCACGACGGCACTTTTGCCTGAGATTATTTTAAAGCTGATGCTGTTCCTAAAAATAGGAACAGAATAATTGAATTTTAATGAAATGTTTAAAAAACTAAATAAATTAAATATAAACAGATACATGTTATTTGTTTATATTAAAATTGAACAAGATTTGACAAAATTTAATTGCCAATTATGAAACCAACAATCAGATGTTTTAAAATCCAACTCTCCTAATGCTTCTGCGAATTTTAGTGCCTTTTCTTTTAGTATGGTACCATCAATTGGTACTTGTTGACTTCTTTTTGCAACGAACCACGTGTATATGGCCTTGTCTACATTTTTGAAATTACCACTACGAAGTTTCTTCCGTTTAGATTTTGTGCCATTTTTTTCCAGTGAGGTTAATAACTTGGTTTTATTTTTAATCCAGGTTGATAACGTGTTCTTTGGGACTCCATACTTTTTGGCAACCTCTTTGTTAGACATCCCTGTCTCTAGGTCTTTTAATAACTTGCATTTTTCTATTATAGATTATCTATTATATATATATATATATATATATATATATATATATATATATATATATATATATATATATATATATATATATATATATATATATATATATATATATATATATATATAAATATATATATATATATATATACATACATATATATATATATATATATATATACATACATACATATATATATATATATATATATATATATATATATTTATATATACATACGTACATACATATATATAATATACTAGATAAGACTTTGTTGTTTGTAAAAGTGTTTGATACCTTTCAGCAAAAGATTATGGCAAAAAAAAAATTTCGTTATTTTTGATTTGTCTTTGTATCTGTAAAACCAAGTTAAATAACTAAACCATTTGGTTGTCCTAGAACTACTTCAAGCCTTTAAAGTAGTAGTAGAACAACCAAAAACTAGGAATGTTCAACCTGAAGAGTTGTCTGCTTCTAATTTAAACAATTTTATACAATTATTTAATGATCTGGAAGCAAACATAGGAAACTACAACTTTAATGGAGTTGATAATACAATAAAGTTAAATATTATTTAACAGTTGGTTTTACTTATTAACTGTAAGAAAAAAATTATTGAACAAAAACTTTTTTCAATAGGTAATTGCCATTTCATTACAGAAAACACTAGTTCATTTGGTGATGAATATGTGGTTTGCAATTACCATTTTTAAATTAGTAACTATTTTTAATTTTTTAATTTTTTTTTTATTTTAATTCACCTCCTCAAGGCCGAGAAGGCCACTACAGACGAGGAGGCTACTTATTTGTGGCTATAACCCTCTCTTGACTCTATAACTCCGAAAAACGAACCTTGACGAACAAGGCCGCTGCGCGGAGAAACGAGTTGAGCGCGGTACTACCAGGGACGTGGTGGGGATCGAACTCGGAACCACTCGTTTATGAAGCGAGCGCTCTACCACTACACCACTACCGCATTTGTTTTTAATGTCAATACTTGTGAATTATTGTGTTATATAAACTATGTTGCAGTACTAATAGTAAATGACTGAGGCCCTGGCTCCAGCTAAAAATGGAGCTTTTTACAACAGTAAATCAATTTAGCAAAGATTAGAAGGGGTTAATTGCTGGGGCTAAGATATTGTTTTTGTTTATTTTGTTGACGTTAAGGAAAGTAAAAAAGCCACACTAATATTTATTATATATTTCAAAAATATATCTAAATTTTTTACTTATTACATAATACAATTCATGTAAATTTGTAACAATAAATAAAGCATTTAAAAATAGTTAATCTTTTTTCCACTGAATCTTTAGATTCATGATCCTAGATGTCATAATATTTGAATTAGGTGGTATGAAGTCTTCAGGAGCTCTAAATAAAGTTGTTGAATAAAAAAGAATTCTTATATTGTGTTTTTACAATACAAAAAACGATAACAATTTTTTCTTTAACAATTTTCCTAATAAGTCTAATGTGTTCTTTTTGAATTAATTTTGAAAGTTAAAACTTGGGCTTACTTATTATTGAGCTTAAGAATGAGCATAAATATACTTTTGCCAATTTTACTTGCTTTTCGTCGAGTTCCAATATAATAATTGATCTTCAACAATATATATTCATTATTTTTTTTAAGTACCACTAAACCTGAAATTGTAGCAGATTTGGTTACATTTAGATAAAATCCACCACTTTCTTCATTACCTCATCATTGTCTAAAACTGTGACCCACATTTCTCTGATAATGATTTGCATAATTTAAAGTTTTTAAAGTTAAATATAAAATAATCCATAAAAACATAACTTTATCAAACATTTTGAAATGTATTAAGTTTATTTAATACTTGTAATTAATCATTTAATACTTGTAATTAATCATTTTTATAAAAGATGTTTACAAATTTGTTTTCTAAACTTAAATTTGAACTGCATTTATTTTACATTTATTTATAATATTTTTACATTTACTTATGATGTTTTTAATTAATTAACATAGTTTAGCATGAGTTTTATTGACTTTACCTGTTCAGTAATTGGTTTTGTAGATTTTACTTGAATATCAGTTTTACTATGACATAGCTGATTAATGATAAGGTACAACAACCTTTCATTTGCTTATTCAGAATAAAAAATTGTTTTGAAAACCTGCAGTTTTGTATCTTGGCCACACTTACTATTCTTCAATATTTGGATAACTTAGGCATTTTTTTTTTAACTTATTTAAACTTTGCTAAAACCATAGTACTTTGCTAAAGCTGGCTTTGTCTCTAATAAAAATGTGAATTTCAATTCCAATTTTTATGCTTTTCAAAGCTTCTAAAATGTTTTACTCAGTATGAGATGTTTCAAATGAAATTCATCTCAGTGCTGCCGTTTTTCAAATTCTCTATAATCCAACAAGCAGTAAATGACATAAAAGAGTAATTAATAGGTGAAGTTCATATATTATTTGTAATTGCATATGTATAATTTAGTAATAGTTTTACTGCACATTGAGCTCTTGTTGATGTTTGGAAACAGATTTGTGTGCACATTTTTTTCTTATGTTATTTAAAAATATTTTAAAAGATGGTTTATAAATTTTGAGAACTGACCATTTTTTCTTGCAACTGTTTTATA